TCAAAAATGAAGATGACGACGAAGCACCTAATCGTGCAGATCTTCCTTTCCCTCAGTCCACTGCTCGTGACGTTCAGATTGAGGTGAAGAAGGTCATGGAACATCGCGACCGGTTCGAGATCAAGGCTCGCACAGGTGGTGTCGGTCCTGGACTTAGTGTGTGCATGTTCACATTCCACAACACTTACGATGGGTATGTTCATCTGATCAGTCCTATCAACACAGAGCTTTACTAACAAATACACAGAGTTACTTGCATGGACTTTTCAGATGACAGCCAGCTTGTTGCCGTCGGATTCCAGCAGTCGTATATTCGAATTTGGAGCCTTGATGGCACAAACATTCAAGCTGCTGACCCTGACCTTGATAACTCGCCGCCTGCCAGTTCACGTCGCCTTATCGGCCATTCTGGTCCCGTCACTGCTGTTGCGTTCCAGCCCTGCGCATCTGCTCGCGAAGGCCTTTCGGGTGATGACAAGGTCGCCACCAATGCACGCTGGCTGCTTTCGTCATCCATGGACAAGACTATTCGCCTTTGGTCTTTGGATAGCTGGCAATGTATGGTCGTATACAAGGGCCACGACCGCCCTGTCTGGGACCTAAGCTGGGGACCCTTCAGTCACTACTTTGTCTCCGGTGGATCTGACCGGACCGCCCGTTTGTGGGTAAGTGACCAAATTCGCCAGCAGCGTATCTTCGTCGGCCATGACCATGATGTTGATGTCGTCTGCTTCCATCCCAACTCGGCATATGTTTTCACCGCCAGCTCTGACCACACTGTTCGCATGTGGGCTGTTTCGACTGGTAATGCTGTCCGTATGTTCACTGGTCACACTGGCAGCATCACCGCGATGGAGTGCAGCCGCGATGGAAAGCTCTTGGCATCCGCCGATGACCAGGGTTGCATCATCTTATGGGACCTAGCTCCTGGTAGACTACTGAAGCGCATGCGTGGCCACGGCAAGGGTGGAATCTGGTCTGTCAGCTGGAGCGTGGAGTCCACAGTACTGGTCTCCGGTGGAGCTGATGGTACCGTGCGAGTTTGGGACGTGGCTGGTTCTCAGGAAACTACTCAGGGTGGTCGTATCATCGGCGAAACAGGTACTGGAACCAGACTTGATGCAGCCGCAAACCCCTCGACAAGCCAGACCAAGAAAAAGAAAGGGAAGGACGTCGTTGTCACGGCTGACCAAATCAGCGCTTTCCCGACGAAGAAGTCTCCTGTCTACAAGGTCAAGTTCACCAATATGAATTTGGTGGTTGCGGGTGGTGCCTATTTGCCTTAAAAGCATTTAGCTCATTTTTCCTTGGCGTCATACGCTATTTTTTTTTTTTTCTCTCAGAATACCCTTACTCCTCCTTGTATTATCACATCCCTTTTCACGATCCGCGCATGATGATTCCGTTTGATGGAATCCCGGTGGCGTTCGGAATCTCGAAAACTTGATTCTCGGTGTTTATCGATGGAGAGGCACGAACGTTTTACCGTGCCCGGAAGCTTTTTTTCCCCTGTTTCTTTGCTCTAATGTTTATCGCAGCGGGGTGGTATGAAGCTTCGGATTGGAGACTGGACTTCCGGCTGCCCTTTGTGGCCGAGTTGACCTGGGCCCAAGGATCTTCTCAACCCGTTCGAAAATGAGACTTTTTCTGCTCATATGATTATGTTTCCGTACATAAGAGTAGCTAAATCCCATCAATTGTAGACGTAATTTCATTAGAGAAAGAGCCTTGCAGCTCACCTATTTGCTCAAGAAGCATATGTTGACATCTATGGACCACCGGCCTCTCATTGGATATCATATCTCATTTCAAACACCGAGACAAATATAAGGTACTATCTCAGGTGCCCCGTTGAGCCACCAGGTGCACCAGTTCCCTTCTTCATCGCGGCTGATGCCTGCATATCCGCCACCTTGGGTGGAAGCACCAACGCGCTCCGGTCGTTACGTCGGTAAAAGTCCGCCAGGATCTGCGCAGTTTTCGCAGGCTGGTCTTCGTGGACAAAATGACCTGCTTCAGGAAAGACCTGGAGTTGATATTTCCCTGTAACACTAAAGTGAGCATGATGACGAATGATTATAGACAGCTGACAGAGATATCTTCGAAGCGCATACCTTGCATTTGCCCGATCATCAACTCTTTATCTAGTCTGTCGGTACCAGCAAGTAGTAGTAGCTTGCCACCTCGTGCATCGAGGAACTTCCTACTCAAACCAACAAACCAGTTTTCCCAGAAGGGTTTCGTTGCGGAGAGGTTGGTGCGCCACACCCAAGGACGAGACGGGTCGCTGGGCTCGCTTTCTTCATATAAGAGGGACGGAACCGAGGCGCGAGCGGAAGTAGAGTTCCGGATTGTGCGGGAGCGAGTACTTGTGGTGTTTGTAAGTCATGATGGGAATAAAAGATAATCGGGAGGGAAACATACTGCCATTCAATTCCAGATAGCAGGGATGGAAATCGGGTGGGACGAGTCGAGAGATATTTCTCCATACTCTGTAGGGCATCCATTGCAGACCCTGTCAAAAAGGGATATCAGTATCTGATAGGACATAAACCAAGAAGCCCAGCATACCTTCAACTACGTCGAACACCGCGTATGCCAACAGCTTTGTGCCCAGCTCTCCTTTCTTCGCGACATCCGTAATCACCGCTCCACCGAGACTGTGTCCAACCAGAATGATATCAGGGAGCTTTCCCCAACCCATCCTGGTTTGTGTCTGGTAGATCACATGGACTAGATCCCGGCTCAGGGTCTCAAGACTAAGGTCGAGCTCAACCTGCCCGGATAATTCTGCCTGGGCTGCCGCTGCCGTCGAAGGAGCGTTATCGCCAGTCTTGCTGTCCAATGGAGTCACGACAGTGCGGCCATGGCTTCGAGCATCTAGTGACAAAATTCCCGCCTTTGGGAGGATCTTCCGAATCTCTTCCGCGCACGTCGCGAAGGAAAGTCCAGATGAACCAGCCCCATGGTGCATGACAAAAAGCGGACCTGATTCAGTTGGCGGTGTTAAATAAACATGGTGGACAATATGGAGATTATCCACCTCTTCTGGAAGAAAGAGCTCCTGGTCAAAGAAGTCTGTCCATGTCAAAGAGGTTTGAGATGATTGTCTATGGTCGCATGTTAGGCTTATGTCTGAAAACCGGCTGGTCCAAATAACCAATTGATCCCAATTTGAGCTCGTAGAGATTGGAGAAGTAAACGAACCGTCGGCCCGTTCGGGCGAATAGCTGTCGCGTGGGTGACGGGACCATCGTCCCGGTCGATGACAGCGAGGAAGCCGAAGAGCCATCCTCCCATGCATCCTCTGAATAACTCATTGATTCAGGCATTGGTGCTTCGGGTGGGAATTTGGCCAGTTTTGACTTGGCAAATGATTTCTGAAGGTCACTCATCTCAAGTGGGTACCACGGCTGTGTCGATCAAAAGGAGGGGCGCATGGATGAGGGCTGTCATGTATGTGTGTTCTCTTCCACCCACTGCCGATAATTTCTCAAAGCGGAATGGCTTATGGTTTTTAGTAGAAATAATCGAGTCCATTCACATCGGGTGATTGCTGTGTCGTCACCTACCGCTGACTAATATCATTGCTAGCCTTCCATGACTGAGGGGTCCTGCCAAAGGTGTAGAACTTGTAAGTGTCCTTCATCTGGAGTTCCTAGCAATAGTACCTAAACAGACTTCTTGATGGCTCGGTCTGTAATTCACCGATGAGGGAGAAGTAAGTATATATGAGCAATTATCTCAACTAGCTACACGGGCAAAGTACCGGCAAAGGGAGGATGAAAATCAAAAGACGATAATTATATCCACTATCCTCTATAACATGCATCTCCTCGGTCATGGATTTTATAGTCCACAAATGGCTATATTGTCAATCTTCAGGGCAACAAATAGCACGAGCTGTATAACTTTATGCTTACGTAGTGTAGTATAATGCGGATGTGGTATATTTGTGAAAGCAGAGCAGGCAGTACATATAAGGAAGAAACTGGTAGGATTGAAGGTGCCACATAACTTATTCTATAATATTTGGAATAATAAATGTAACGAATGGCAGTCAGGTCAACATTTATAAGTACAGTAGTACCTACACCATAGGCGTATTTCTGTTTGTTGCACGCAATGCGCATGTGGTATATACTTCCAAGGTTGTAAACTTTTGCTTATCGTCTGTATAAATCCATATGCAGAAAACATTCAATAATAACTTAAAAGGATCATTTTGTCTTTGTATATACCAAGGCGAGAAAATCTGTAGTGAATGACGATACTATGAGGAACTGCGATAATACCTAGATAGCGGGTGACCAAAGGTAGGTGTATAGCAGGCTATACAACCAAAAAAAAGACACTCACTAATGTCTGTGAACTGTGAGGACAGATACCTCTATATAGAATCCCAGAGATATGCGGTGGCTTTCATATATGTATATATCCTTTTCTCGTTTCAGCATAACTGAAACCTATCCCAGTTGGAAGTGAGAAATTAGCAATAGAAGAATACTGACCACATACAAGGAGGTAGGGGCCACCTATATAAAGACGCAGATACAACAAAGACGCCCAAATGTTTGACAACATTATATCTCCAACATTACGTAAAGGGGCGTGAAATGAGATCAATTGTAATATTCAAAAGTCCTGGTATAATTTAGCATCAGGAAGGAGGTATAGTACTGAATCTGGTTTTTGGCGCATCATGCTCTGTGCCCCATTGTATCTTTGAGGGCGCTCTTGGATGATTTTGTTGAGCATATCTTCAGGCAACAGTTTGAGGCTCCATATTAGCTGCATGAGCCTTGAGAGCGGCCCGAACACTGCATCTTCTGTGAAAAGAAAGGTATCCAGGACTTGGAGTGTGATACTCCTAGGAAACTTAGCTTAGTATTGTTAATTCTGTCGAAGGCTGAGGGATATCAATTTGACATGTTGAATCGGGCCTAGAAGACAGGTTGGGCTAACCCCATGAAGAAAAAATCAGTAATTTGCTCATCAACTTAGTCAAGCCAAGGATCTTTCAACGGCTCCTTGTTGACCGGTTCTTCAGGCTTTGGAGGCTCCTTACTTCGTAATGCATCAGCCCCAGCCTCCAGGTCGAGAGGGCTTTTGATGAAATGCAGTAGCACCTGCCTAGTAGCCATCGCATCTTCCAATGCACTGTGTCCACGCTTTCCCCGTTGAATTTTCAGGCCAAGCAAGTCATTGGCCAAGGCCTTGAGGCTCCAAGTCCCCCGGAAGGGTCTCTCAAGCGGTCGAAACACCGCATTAGCGGTAAGGATTTCCGTCTCGATGATTGTGGGGTGCACAACTCCCAAGACATTCAGGTCGTTATGGAGGGCGTGGCCGACCATGATGGTGTTACTATCCATATGTTCAAAGAGCATTTCGCGCGCTGCTTTCCACTCTCGAAGGGCGAGGTTTTCCTTCACTGCAGCTTTCATACTGGCACACGTTATGCCGCTCGATCGGGTGAACCAGTCTCGGACGATATTGGTTGGATGGACGAAATTGTTGGTGAGAACATCTCCGGTGAGAAGGTCCACGACCACTAGAAAGGCTAGCTCTTTGCGACGCTCTGAAACCCCGACCATCTCGCAATATAGAACAAGCGCCTGCCGTCTTGCTGCGTTTTCATTTGGAATTGGGCTCTCGATGAATTCCCCGTACTGGACAACCCCACCAGCGGCGCAACGAGAGCCATAGCCACGAGCCGAAATGGGTGTATAGTGTTTCTTTTTTAACACTTCTTCTGTGTGCACCTTTGTTAGGAGCTGGCCGAAGAGCTCCCCCTGCTCATCATTTGAAACGAGGTTTGGATCATCAGACGACATTGCAGGCTTCTTTCCCAAAGGTTGAGGATAGGGACGGTGACAATCGGTGGTGATTAGGATGATAAAAGGGGATAGTAGTAGACGACAATGAAGTTTTTGATGTTCAGTTTCAATGAGATAGATAAAAAGGTCTTCGAGGGAGCGAAGCGGGAGCGAAGTAAATAAATAAGAACAAAAAGTAAACGATACAGGGAAACACACATTTATTCAGGCAGCGCAGCTTACGAACAGGCATCACAGACGTGAAAAAGGCTCGGCGTCGAGTATACTTTCAAGGTTGCGAACGTTTCCTGTCCATTCGGCTAAGCCTGCTCGCTATGTACATCAATAAGTGGATCAAATTGAAGAATAACGCAGTCTCGCCATGCATTCGTGCATAGTAAGAGAAGCCATTGGTCATGCCATGTTGTGATCAGATTCATACGTGGAATTAGATGGCGAGAACGAGCACCGGAACAATCTGCAAGAGCTTGTTGTAGGCAGCGAGATACGGTAAATAGCTTGAATGCAATTAGGCCGAGAAAATTTTAAACCAAAGGCTTTCTGTCCAGCTAGCTGATGACCAAGGTGGTGCAAGTTACAAGACGACTAATCATGGACAGTCGCAAACCGTCTTAAAACAAAAAGAGGATCTTTATGTCTGTGAACGTAGGTAGCTCCCTTCACATGGAATACCAGGAAAATGCGGTGGTGGCTTTGAATAGATAGCTTTTCCCTAATTCCAAAATAGATGCCATCTTAGGTATAAGGGACAAATAAAATCTACCAGAGAAGAATAAATCCAAATACAATCAGGCAAATGGGGCTGTCTACCTACATAGTCCTTTGAGAGTTGACACAAAGAACAAACAGGCCGATACAACAAACACACCCACAAAGTGTTCCACGACATTGCATAAAAAGGCATGGAATGAGACCAGGTCAACTATAATATCCAAAAGCCCTTGTATTATTATCCTAGCATCGATGAGGAGGCGCAGTACTGAACCTTGTATCTGCCATGTAGACGGCAATGAGTGCAGCCTGAACAAAACAGTTAGTGTTTGTTTACCAGAACATAGATTACACTCACGAGCGACAAGTCAAACCCCTCAGCCACAAGAATCTCAAGCACCTGTCGTGGCATCAAGGACACGTCACCTTGGGAGGTACATTTGGGTAGTGTCTTGTTCATCGTCATGCTTTCACGAACATCAACCACTTTCTGGCCCCCAACACTAGCCGAGAATCCTTGCCACGCATAACTGCCGGTCTCTCGGACTTCGACCGTTGCCATTCTATCGCTTTCGCTTTTCGAGTCGGGCTCCATCGAGTTCCGAAATGTGAGTCTGTAGACGTGTTTCATGTCGACCCTGAAATCCACAAGCTCTTCGTCTTCGTTGCCGGGCAGTCGCACCCGCAGTGGTCGTTTCCATGCTAGGACTGCCGCGCGAGACTGGAACATTGGGAGTCCTGAAGAATCGCGAAATTCGCGAGCTGGGGTGTCACCATATTTGTGGCCAGTGACTGTGAAAATGGTTGAGTCGTCCCAGTATCTCTTGATAGTATATTCATTGGGCGAACGGTGGTCATATTTAGGTTTTAGGTAGAGGAGAGTTTCTTCGTCGGCGATATGTTCTGGTCTGATTCCGACAGGATGCGAGAGTGGCTTGACAGTTTTGTTTACCGGTGTCGTATAGTCAGTATACATGGTGGGGGGGGGTTGAAGATGAAAACAGTGCAGGTCGCGACGTTTCAATTGAAGAAGGGATCGACATGGCCCCTTTCCTCGATACGTTAGTCCTGTGATCATGGTCAATGCAATCCATTCCTTGACAGGACAGGACAGGACCTGAAGAGAAAACCCTCTATAAACGGAAAGTCGGAAGGTCGAATGTTACTCCAAGCTCGACCCCTCACCTGGGCAATTTCCCCCCTTTTCAAGGGAGATAAGCCAGATAAGCACAATTTATAAAGCATCATTGCCCCGACTTTTGGGGTGTTTCTAAGGGTTGAATATATTTGAATAATTTCTATCATGGAATATCGTTTGTGGTTGGCCGGCAAAGAGCAAGATGGGAAGGCAAACCTGTGGGTAACGGCTATCTTGACACTCGAACCAGCACTGACAATTCTACAGAATTCCCATTGAAGACCCAGCAACCGGAGAGATCTTCGCGCAGTAAGTTGATTCGCCGGCTTCGGAAAATGTTGGATCCCAGCCTAACCATTGATAGATGTCATGCAGCCTCGCCAGAAGATGTCGAGACTGCCATCTCCGCCGCCCACGCAGCATACAAGTCCGGTGTATGGTCGCGTGCGAGTCGTCACCATCGTGCCGATGTGTTGGACAAATGCGCAGCGCTTCTCTCTGATGCACTCCCACAGCTCATCTCAATAGAATCAAAGCAGACAGGTCGCGTGATTCGAGAAATGAAGGCCCAGGTCCCATCTTTAACAAGATGGTTCAAATACTATGCCTCACTGCTAAGAGTCGAGGAGCGCTCTGTTCTGCCGACGATGGGTAAGCTGCATAACTTTGTCGATCGAGTGCCTCTCGGAGTGGTCGTTCAGATCACCCCGTTTAATCACCCGTTATTGATCGCCGTGAAGAAGCTTGCTCCAGCCCTTGCCGCTGGAAACAGTGTCATAATTAAGCCCAGCGAGCTGACTCCATTGACAACGCTTTTGTTGGGCAAAATCCTTCATGAGGCCGGAATCCCAGATGGTGTGTTAAGCGTCTTACCTGGTTATGGAGCTATCACCGGAAAAGCACTGGTTGAGCATCCCTTGGTAAAAAAGGTGGATGTGACTGGTGGCACTGAGGCCGGCAGAGCCATTGGGAAGATTGTGGGTGGAAATCTGGCAAAATACACTGCGGAGTTGGGTGGAAAGGCGCCCTTGGTCGTATTTGAGAAGGCCAACATCGATACGGCGATCAACGGAATCGTCTTCGGAAGCTTCATCGCAAGTGGACAGACGTGTGTGGCCAGCACCCGGATTATAGCGCAAAACTCCATCATGGAAGAGTTACTGCTTAAGCTCAAAGCTAAGATTGAGAGCATTACACGCCGAATTGGGGCCCCGAGCAACCCGGAATCAACCATGGGGCCACTTATCTCTGAGAAGCAGCTGCAAAATGTAGAGCGCCTAGTCAACAGCGCTCTAGATGGGGGAAATGCGGTTTCTCTCATCGGTGGAAAGCGGATGGTTTCTCAAAGCCCGCTTGATGGGTTCGACTTCGAGAAGGGATACTTTTACGAACCAACGCTACTTGCATCCAGCAAAGGAAAAAACAGCATTGTGGAGACATCTATATGGCGCGAGGAGGCGTTCGGTCCTGTTATTGTCGTTGCTGGTTTCGATGACGAGGAAGAAGCAATCGCATTGGCAAATGACAGCGAGTTTGGATTGGGAGCCGGTGTATGGACGCTTGACCTTCCCCAAGCTTTCCGAGTGTCGGAACAGATTGACGCAGGAATTACTTGGGTGAATACCCATCATCGAAATGACCCCAGCAGTCCATGGGGAGGTGCGAAGTCTGCGAGTGGAGTTGGAAGCGAGAACGGAGTTGAGGCTTACAATGCCTACACAACATCGAAGAGCACAATCATAAACTATGCTTCTCCTGAGGAGTCCTTGGCTGCGGATGACTGGTTTGGAGATGGCTCCGGCAATGTTAGATATGGTTGAATGGAGTCATGTTGATGGTTTCTCCGGACTCTGTTTCTCAAATCCTCGAATGAATCAGCATAAATATCAGTAAGTAGCTACCAGCTAATATATGTGATATGTGATTAGCAGAATACGTAAAGGAAATTATATGTAGGTTAGAAGACCACCTCTACCCACTCGCATCTCAACTTTGGCCTCTTTCGTAGTATACCTTAAGGTAATACATCGACATTTTTCGTATTTTGTGACAAATAAATACGCCAAAATCCACCAGAGTAGTCAATGACCGTACTACCTGAATATTCCAAGATATAGATCTGCGTTACTCGGGAACAACCTGTATGGGAAATGTATGATGTCATACCCATCAGCCTAGATATTATCAAGTTGGGCCTGGGTCCATTTCTTCAAACATACATTCCCCTCTTGATTAATTTACATGAAACTTGCTGAATCAAAGATCGACACCAATATTCAATATGTCACTTTGGGGTCGCAAAAAGATCACAAGTCCACAGGCCCACCCCATACCCAAAATGGGGAAGAAGGTCGACATGCGCCTGAGCAAAGATTCGAAGAACCTACTGAGCGCTCAAGATTGCTCCCTGTAGACAGGAACGAGGGGTTCCTAAGCCCAGATGATCCTGCAGTAAGTCTAATAAACCAAAACCACACTAAATTTAAAGAGCATACCAAAGACAAGTATGATAGCTAACACTAAAACAAGGTATCGCCCTACAATCTATGGAGCGTGCGCGCGGTGCGCGGCGTGTCAGTCCTCGCATTGGCACTGAGCTTCATATGGTGGACATTCCTGCTAGTCTCCATCTTTGTCAGTCCACCGATGATCCACCCGCGGGGATCGGGTTTCTTTGCCTTTTCATATACCACCTTGGCGACAGGATACCTCGTCCTTGGACTCTTGTTCTTCGCAGTTCCATCCAAGCCCATGACTATATGGGCCATTATACTTGCCGTTCTGCTGTTAGTGGACATGTGTATTATCCTGGCTGTGCCGCGAATCCGTCTTGAAGAGGGCTGGGTGGGGATCGCTTCTGTCGTTTGGGTAGCTCTGATATCTATCTATCAGGCCATCCAAAACCGAGCGGTTGCTTGGGGTAAGCGCGAGGAGGAAGAGCGTCTTACTGGTCGAGAAGAGACTCGACGCTCCCTTCTGGAGTGGATTGCTGTTCTCGCTGAAACCATTTTACTGGCTGTCATGGCGATCGCGGCTGTCTTGTTCACAGCGACTCTGATAATGCGTTCTTTTGACGCTGGGCTCGAGACTCCAGGTAAGCGGTACTTGGTGCATGGTGATAGCTATCAAGTTCATCTCGCTTGTGTTG